TGACTGTGCATTCACAAATCCTTTACACTGAAATACTCCATGTCTTTATCAGCTCTCTAGGAGGTATATGACACCTATTTCCTGCTGTCTTTGGAGTGGCTGTTCCTCAAGGAGTGCAGTCAGTGTATCATCTTTTATGAGCTTTTCTGTCTTTAATGTGAGAGATCAGGTGTTGTTTGAAAGTGAGAGAAGGTGGAAAAACTCTGACAATCTTTGGTGTAGATAAAGGATTATTCTCTCCTGAGCAAAGAAGTAAAGGGCGAGGAAGACATGTGCTGTGTTAATGAGCTCATTCAACTCAGTGATCACTTCATGTGAAATACTGAGATCATCATCTTCCTATGCTCAGAAACAATAGTGCCAAGTTTGCTGCTTTTTACATTTATATTACATAATTTTAACTTCAAAGCATTTTGAACAATGTTTCAATAAATATCACTTTACTAAGCATGAAGTAGATGCATAATTAATGAAATTAGTAGAAAACATGGATTATTAGATTAGTTTTAAGAATGGAAATTGTATTAATTTTTGTAAATTTTGCATGTGTTTACAGATGGAAGTTGTGTTTGGTCTTGTAAAAAAGTAAAATGATAAATGTTCTCTACCAAACAGTCTAGCAATGAATATATGAATTCTTATAAGGCAATTGATAATTTGTGTCAGGAGGCACATGGACAATGTATATTCTAAAGAAATATAATGTTCCTTTATAGAATTTTTTTCTTAAATACAGAGTCTAGAGTGTACCTATATGTCCTAAATCAAACAAATAAGTATCTTCTTTCATCAACTCCTATATGCGGACTAGAAGCATGTATTGGTGGATCAATTCCAGACCTAATTTTGAAGCATTAAAAGAACCTCAGTGCTTAGTAAATCTCATATAGAAGTTTAGATTCCTGTTGACTTTTAATCTATGTTAGAACGTTGTAATGTTTCTTCTCCAGAATTCAAATAATTATATTACAATATGTAGAAAATGCAAACATATAAAAATAATTCTAAACAGATCTGCCGTGATAATCCAGTGCTCACTCATCATATAGGGCTGCAAGGAGCACAGTTACTGGATGAAAGTGAACTGGTCTACAAAGCAATGAAGATTTTCATGAAGAAATCTATGAGTACAGTCAGTAAAACATTATTCTAACTGGTTTGATTCCCTCTCCCCACACCCATACCCACACATACCTGTGGGTGTGTGTTTGTGTGTATGTATATAGTGAGACATTGAATTGTTAAAAATCAAATTTCTACAGGATTCAAATTAACACATTTAAAATCTTTCCAGCCACAATATCAGTGATAGGAGGACGTTGTTACACAATGAGTGTTGTTACATGGAGCATATTTATAATCATTTTCACTGTGGAATTCATAATTGGAAGTTTAGGAAATGGATTCATAGCAGTATTATACTACATCTACTGGACTAAAAGAGGAAAGATCTCATTGGCTGATAAGATCCTCACTGGTCTGGCAGTCTCCAGGATTTTTTTCATCTGGTTAACAGTTGTGAATATACTCCTACACATGTTTCCTTCAGATTTTCTAAACATTGAGATATTTCCATCTGTTTTGTTTCTGTGGAGTGTGGCCAGCCATTTCAGCACCTGGTTTGCTACCTGCCTCAGCATCTTTTATTTCTTCAAGATAGCCAATTTTTCCAACTCTACTTTTCTTTATCTGAAGTGGAGAATTAAGAAGGTGGTCTCAGTGACACTACTGGCATCTCTGGTTCTCTTATTTGCAAATATTGTACTGCTGAACATACATGGTATTATCTGGGTTGATGAACATAAAAGAAATGCTTCTTTCAACTCAAAATTTAAGAGCTATGGACGAAATTCTAAATTTATTATATACATATTTATTTTCTGGTTTGTAATCCCCTTCCAAGTGTCCCTGACAACTTCTCTCCTGCTGATCTTCTCCCTACGGAAACATCTGAAGAGAATGCAGCACAGTGCCAAAGGCCCCAGGGATGCCAGCACCACGGCCCACATCAAGGCCCTGCACACCGTCATCACCTTCCTCCTACTGTATACCATTTTCTTTATATCTCAAGTTTTCCAAGTCTGGGACTCTAACTTAATCCACCATACTCTAGCCATCTTTCTTTGCCAGACTGCTGGAATGGCCTTTCCTTCGGGTCACTCCTGTGTCCTCATTCTAGCAAATACTAAACTACGGCAAGGCTCTCTCTCTATGCTGTGGTGGCTGAGGCGCAGCCTAAAGTCTTGAAATCCTCAGATCTATAGAACACCCCTGGGATCATCTTGTGAATTCTAGAAGAAAGCTAGTTCTTCAAATTGTACATTTTACAAATTTGTACTCTTCTTATTTTGCCCATTGCATGTTGTAATTTTTTTAATTTTATGGACATTTGCTTGTATTAAATACTGGCTGAACATTTTTCACCTTAGTAGATCATATATAACTGTTCATATCACTAGCCCTAGAAGATATTAATAATGACAACTTCAACATTAAAAATCTGTGTAATATTGAATAGAATTAATTTTATTTAAAATATTAGCTTTCTTGTATTATAAAAGGAGAAACAAAGTTATTTTAAAAATGCAAGCATTAAACATGTTAGTTTATGCTTGAAATATATTTTCTCTTTTTCTCCTAATGTTAGTTATTCTCTATTCATTTATATTTGTGAAAATATATGTTTAACACTTTTGCTTTTTGTCTTTTGGCTGCATTTGAATGATATATATATATATATATGATTTATAATAAAGGCATCTGCATTTATAAACAAAAAGGATACTGTAATACTTTGGGGGCATGAAATCTTTATACTACATGTCTTTTAATATTTACACATACTTAATACTACTTTGATATGAATAAGATGAAGTTCTGAGATGTGTAAAACATATCTATTAGTGCACGAAAATGCTAATAGAGAGCTGGATTACTCTATGTAGAACGTGTCTCTCCCCCAGATTCAGAGGACATCTCAACAGAAGACACTGGTCACGACCACTTTTGAAATCTGGTAGCAAACATGCCTAAGAACATGCCATTTTGGTGCTCGAATTAAATACTTTTGTACTTTGACATTTGTGCCATTTTAATAAGAATGAAACAGGTCCAATTATTGGATTCTTTTTTTTTTCATTTTATACATTAGAATTGGCATGCTTTGCCAAATTATCATATGAGCTTCTGTTCTAAGCTTCTTCACTTATATTTTGTTATAAAATGACATTGCCTGATTATAATTATGGGAATTATTTTAGTTCAACTTGAAAATTGGTTGTAATTCCTTTAATTTCTGTGGTTGGCTATGTAATGGAATATCTCACCTACTGAAAATTTCAGTAATTATCATGATTACTTGCTTTATTAATGTAAAAGAGATCTTATCACAATCATTCCTTACTAGCTCCTTATCCTTGGATTTCCATACTCCAGAACAGTGAGGGAATAAATTTTTGTGTTCAATCATCCAGCGTATGAATTTTACTATGGTAGCCTGAGTACATTGATACAAAAGACAAAAACATAGACGGAAAATTTGACATTGAGTAAATGAAATCTTAAATATGTTGGAAAGTTAGTCAGCTCTGTTAGCATAGAACTTGCAGGAGCTGATGTACACTTCAAAGCCAGTGGCTGATGATGTCACAGACCACAAACTGAAACTCAGAATTACTGATTGTCATTCAATGTAAATTTGACTTAAATAAGATTTATCAAGAGAATAAAATTTACATAACCTGTATATTGGAAAGAGCGACAAGTTCAATGGAATTTTAAAGCACATCACGGTCTTTACTTTGAAAGAAAGGAGACAAAGCTACAATTCACACATTATTATAAACAGATGTTATCTTTATTAATAGCTGCATATTATTTTTAAAATATTTTACTTATTTTTATTTTATGAGTCTAAATGTTTTGCCTGGGTGTATGTATGTGTACTACAGGGGTGCCTTGCACCTGCTGCAGCCAGAAGAGGGTTTTGGAACCCTTGGAACTGGAGAGAAGGTAAGGTGATAGCTGCCATGTGGGTGGTGGGAACAAAATCTCAGTCCTCTGTAAGAGCAGTAAGTGCTCTTAGTCCCTGAGCCATCTTCTAGTCCCATAACTGCATATTCTGTTTTCAAAAATGCTTATTGGATTTTTGTGTATCTTGTGCACAACATTGTAATCATCTTTATACCCCGTTCCCCCTTGGTACCCTCCCATAACAAATCCACCACACTGGATTACATGCATTCTGAATTATGTTAAGACCTATCAAGTCTAATTAGCATCCACTTCCATCCCTCTGTGCATGTTCATTCACTGGAATCTGGTCAGCTCTTCCTTGCTCAGCAGTAATTAGCTGCCCAATAGTTCTTCAGCTAAGATTGGGGCCTGCTGTTCATTTCCACCACGCATCAAAGAAGCTTCTTTTGCAACAGATGGAGACTTTTACAAAATTCCCCAACAGGTCACAAACAGAGATTAAGTGTCTGTGAAATGCCCAACCCTAAGTGACACATCTACAATGAAACCTCTACATCTAAGGCTTATGGAAACTAGTGGAACAAGGGGTAGAGAAAATACTAATTCATCTTTCAATCTCATCAACGAAGCTCCCTCATGCAACAGAGGGCAATGAGCAAAAAGGGCCACACATGTCCAAAGTGTAGACAAAAAGAGTCTGTAGAGTGTGAGTCCTTGAAAGGACTCCTACATTAAACTTCACCCACCCAGCTCAGGGATCATTGCAGAAGAGGGGACCAAGCAGAAAGGCTGTAAGAGTCACAGGAAGAGGTGAAAGAACACATGGATACAGCCTCTTATAGGTTTCTAGGACCTTGTACATATAAACTTATAGCAATGATGACAGCATGTACAAGATCCATGCAAACACAAGCAGACAAAAACCCAGCACAACTGCATTTTCTAAATAAAAAAAATTAAATTTGGGTAGAGAGATGTCTCAGCAGTTAAAAGCAAAATCTGCTCTTGCAGAACATTTGGGCTTGCTTCCAAGCACACATATGTTGGCTCACACCATTTTGTGACTCCAGCTCCAGGGGATCAGATTTCCTTTTCTGGCCTCAGTGGGCACTAGATATGCACATGGTACATTTTCATACATGCAAGGAAACACTCATATACATTAAATAAAAATAAATATTTTGGGTCTTTTTTTTTTTGAGACAGGGTTTCCCTGTAACCCAGACTGGCCTGGAACTCACTATGTAGACCAGGCTGGCCTTGAACTCACAAAGATCCCCTTGCCTCTACCTCCAAGTGCTGGGATTAAAGGCATGCACCACCATGCCTGGCATAAAAACAATTTTTTTTTAATTGAGAAAACAATTGACAGGATAGCTAGGAAAAGACAATGATAAAACATCTGAGTCAAAAACAAAGAAAAAAAATGACAGAGACTAAAAACAACAATGTGGCTGATAACCACAAACAGACATATGAAATGAGTCTAAAGTCAGCAAAGACTTGTGATTGATGATAATTATTAAAAGGGATACAGGGAGTAGAGTGATGGCTCCACAGTTAAGAACTCTTGCTTCTCCTGCAGAAGTTCTATATTGAGTTTCCAGGACTCGTGTGGAAGTTCACAACCACCCATAACTTCACTTCCAGTGGATCTGCATTCATTTCTGGTCTCTGAAGGCACTGCATGCATGTGGTGCATTTAGGTACCTGTAGATAAAACACCCATACACATAAAATAAAAACAAATAAATAACATTTTAAATGTGCAAAATACCTTAATTCGCACATATTTATTAGACATATTTATGTGATAGTGTATATCATGTATTTTGTATAATTCAATTTTACACATTTTGTTAGTTTGTAAATACCACACATGTAAATACCATATACTTCATTTCATTTTCTGATAAATGGAAGATAATTATTGAAAATATATGACTGTATATAAGAACATTTTCAATTATAATTTTAATGTAGAAATTTTCACCAGTAATAACTATTGACAAATTTATAATTGAAAATGTACTTTTGAATAGTAGAGAAATTAGAATGTGGCTGGGCATGGTGGTGCATGACATTTAATCTGAGTACTCAGGAGGCAGGTAGATGTCTGTGAGCTCCAGGGCAGCCTGGTTTGTAGAGGGAGTTCCAGGCCAGGCAGAGCTACAGGATGAGAACTTGTCTCAAACAAATAAACCAAAGCTAAAACAAGCGAGAATCCTGGAAGTAACTGGATACGTCTCAAATACTCATATAACATATATTGAGGCATTTATTAAATTTTATTAAAGAAAAACACACTGCCATCCAGACATGATAGGGAAGATGTACCCATGAAATTTCAAAAATATGATTGCCTAAATAATATCTGCATAACAAAGCCACCTATTGACATAGCAATATGAATGTGGAAATGTCACATGGATTCCCAACTAGATAAAGAGTGTCAGGCAACCCATGGTATGGGTACCCTGATAGATGATCTAACCCAAGTGCTCAGTCCTAAATACATGCAAATACAAGCAACACTAAATGGACTCAGTGGCTAAAATGCATGTATATGCATATTTAATATGCATACACATAAATGCAATCATGCACACGTAATTAGCAATGATAACTAAATGGAGTTCAGAGATTAATGGGGACACATGGAGGAACTGGAGTGGGAAGGAGAGGGGAAATGATGGAAACACAGTACACATGTAAGATGTTCTCCCAAAATTAAAATTTTAAATAAAAATTATATAAAGGAAGAATAAGTAAAAGAAAAAAATGAAAGAGTAACAAAAATAATTTAACTCAATACAATCAGCAGTGAGAATATTTATATCGCAAAAACAGTAAAAATAAAATCCAAGCATCAACTGAACTGTGCACATTTTAATGGGGCATACAACACCAAAATTTATATTCCTAGTAGAGAACACTAATAGCTCAATAATCAACAAAATCAAAATTTTTCTTTTTTACTTCTTAAGAAAAATTATTGATTTTTTAAAGATTTTCATACAATATAATTTGGTATTTAGATACCCTCCCCCATCGGCACCTCTAGTTAAAGCTTCCCACCAAAATTAACATACTCTATTATTTACATGCATCCATATGTATGTATACACAGACACACACACACACAGACACACACACACACACACACACACACATGAGACAAGACCTATAGTTTCTAAACTGTGTCCCCTAACACCCTTCAGTGTGAGTACATCCACTGGAGACTGGGTAACATACCTACAGTCACATGTTTG